CTGTCTCATCCACAGATGATTATTCACAAAACTTCTAAGTTGATGTATTCTAAACCAATGCCCTTCCCCCCATCCCCGGAAAGTTGTATTTGTTTGAAACTCTTTGTTTAAACTCTTGGCTTGCAGGTGGGGAAATATTGCTCATGCTTTGTCATGGAGGCAGTGTAATTCAGCTTCTCAGACTTCTGTGCAAAAGCTTGAACTACTACCATTTAATGGGGGGTATTTTCCATTTTGCTTTTGCAAAATGAGCATCCCTGCAATCTGAAGATGGACCTTGTCACTGCCAAAGTGCACCTGATAAAATTGTTCCTTTTTCCTCAGCTCTGGCCCTGGCACAGGCTCGAGCAGCTGCTAAACCTGGTTCTTATTGATATCCAAAGTTCAAAATCAATCTACCGAGTGATATCATGTGCACATCTTTTCCCAAATCTTGTTGGTTGTCTCCTTTGCTGTCTTTAAGTCTGATTCAAATTGACATGTGAAGTTGGTGAAAGACTCCCCAGGGATTTCAGCAGGTTTAAGGAGAAGTTGGTATCCAAGGTGCAGAGTAGTCCATAAGGCACTTTGAATAGATAATGAGAGACATGAATGTTCCTTTAGTTAGGATACTTATCTGCCTGCTCCCAATTTCTGCCTCTCTTTTCCTATCTGAGAATAGTTAACTATGGCTTTCTGGTGAAAAATTACAAGATGGGTTGATAAAAAATACAGATAATGCTTGTGTGTTGTTTCTATTATTGTTTTGTGTTAGATTTTAAAGAGCTCTTTGAACGATCATCGTTCACACAACAAAATTTTAGGGGAAAAGTAGCTGTTTCTCTCTACACTTGATAAAAGGGATAAGCAAATCCCAAATCAGAACTGCTGCTGTGGATCACTGAGTGGCAAATTCTGTGCAGAGTATGGGATACATATATCTGCTTGCTTAAGAATGAAATCTGCTCATCTTCTAGAATGTTATGTTATTCCATGTGCTCAAATACTGTAACAATCATTTGTCCTCTACCTTGATGAAATAGCTGAAAAGAGGCTGGGAAATGGGAAAAATCAACAGAGGTGCAAACATTTTAATCTAAACCAAAGCAAGAATGGCTTAGGCAACACGATGCATCACCCCGTGGCTGTTGGTAGATGGCAGCCTCTGTCCTTGCACACAGGGGCGCTGGAAAATATTCCAGCTGCCTGCAAATGCTCTCACAGGCCTGTGTGCTCCCACCTGCTGATACCCAAGCTCAGCAGGAGGAGACAGAATTTGCCTGTTCAGAGCAATAAGTTCCAGAAGCAATCCCAAGCACAATCCAGCTTAGGGCTAATCATGAACGGGCTTTACTGCATTAATTAAGTGTTAGAACATGGATTTAGGAGATAGCTGCTGTTAGGGTATGTTTCCAATTGATAAGTATAGGCAAAAGCCTTTCTGACATTTGGTCCATGGGGGTCTTATCCTTCTCTGTGGAGGTGGCCGTGCTGAGGCCGAGCGGTTTTTCTCTGGAGCCAGGATAAAACTGGGTGTGTTGCTGCTGTGTTTCTGGCTGGAGCTGTGCGAGCCCACCCTGCTGATGACTCATCCTTCAAGTGGCTCAGAATATCACACTGTGCCTCGCTGCTTCCCTGTTCCTATTACACTGATGCATTTGGGTCTCGCTCGGTGTTGGCGTTTCATTTACAAACCTCGCTTTTCCCATAAAGGAAAGATGGCTGCCAGCCCTGCTTTACCCTGATGTTCAGCACTTTTAGGTTTTTAGGAGCCTCTCCTGAATAACTTCAGATGGAAATTTTAAAGCACATTTTTAAAGCACATTTTTCAGAATATGACAATTTTTTTTGTATCCTCTCCTTTTTTTTTTTTTTCCTCTCTTTACAATACTGGTTGCTTCTGCATATGACTCAGAATAAATTTTCCTTTTTCTCCTTCAAATGTTGAATTAGGATATTTAGGCCAGCAAAAGAGATCTGTGTTCCTTCCCTGCATTCCTTCCCTGCATTCCTTCCCTGCCACCCTATCTTTGAGTCCACGTATTTCAGCACCATTTTACAAGAGTGAATAGAGTCAGATAAGCAGTGGAACAGATTTACATGTCTCCTGTTTCCTTCTCCCTCCCTCACAGAGAACCTGACTGTTCCATTAAATCAGGTGGGGATATAGCTTGAAATTCAAGGACTTGTGTCACCACAAGAGAAAATGAATATAAATAAATCTACCTCTTCCTAATTTTTTTGTTGGTTTTGTGAACCAGTTGATCCAGGTGACATGAGAATGAAGATACTGACAGCTGTGAAGCAGTCATGAGGTAAGAGTCCAGATGCTGCAGTGGGCTTTGCAGAAGCCAACTGATGGACTTTCAGTGCAGTGTTACTTGCTCGCAGCACATGGGGAGCCACATCCATGAAAGGAGCCATCCATCTCATGTCACATATATGTGACACACCCCTTTGTCACATATCAGGGGTTTAATCAGGCTTAAAAAATGCAGCAGAAAAGAGAGATGCAGTGAGGACCAATCATTTTGAATTTGTTTTTCAAAGTAGTGCTAGTGCATGCTAGGGAACACACCTCCTTCCATGTCTTAGTGCACCACAGTGAGTCAGATTTATTACAAACGAGAGGGGCTTTTTTAGTTAACATAAGAATATTGAAGGGGGAAAAAAACTGCATTGGTCTTCCCAATAGGCATGGAGTCAGAATCACTGCTCTCCATGTAGATATGTAAGTCAGACACACACATTATTATTGCAGACCCGGCAGCAATCCCCCTCCCTGCGCTCACCACGTTTAATACATGGTGCATTTCAATGCACAGGCACACCGAGCTGGAATAACCCCTGCTATAATGCACAGCCGAGCTGGAATAACCCTGTGGCACAGCACACACACTGCTGGGCTGTCCCTGCTCCTGTGGGAGCTGGCTGAGCCAGCCTCTGCTTGCCAGGATCGTGGAGCCTGCGGGAGCTGCGCCGCTCACGAACACTAGGCAGCTCCGTGGGATTTCCAAACTCCAGACAGAGCTGTCGTAACTCTTTTGATAAATAGGTTTGCCCTTGCAAGAATTAAATATTTGAAACTATACAGGACCATATCAGCCTGCTGGAGTCATGCTTTTGTCCCACAGGGCAACGCTGTGGGTGACTCCACGTATCTCGAGGTACATACAGATATTAGATAAGAGGAGCAGTAGAGCTGTTGGGTGCACGTGCTGATTTCCAGTGCAACTCATACTTGAGCTCTTCAAGATCTGCCCTTTTCATTCAGGCACCTCTATAAAAATAACTCACCAAACACAGTCAGCACTCCCTGTGGAGTCTCCCATGAAGGTAAATCCCACTGATCAGTCTCATCCTGAGGTGCAGCAGAAACAGCAATATCCCAGTGCTGCTGCAGTGAATGGTGCTTCACAAAGTGGGCACTTAGACACATGCCTTCATTTGTCCTCTGGAGAGAGGAGGTGCTTGTAGCATTAAAAACATTCTGTATAATAGAAATTCTGTCTTCCACCGGCCATCAGCCTTGTGGAGATGTTTGCATTGTCCTTATGATGATCATTAGTGGGAGGCTGGGCAGGGATGTGAAGTGCACTTAGAACTGAGCATAATCTGGTCTGTTTACATCAGTGCTTGCACAGAAGAGTTCAAACAACAAGCAGGGCAGATGCTCCTTAGGAACCTCATCTCTGTGCTAGGGCTCTGGTTTCCAGGAAGCAATTTCTCCCTCAAGAATTATTTAATCAGAGAAAAATCTTCCGGTACTTACAGACACAACTGCTGCGGTATAGAACTTGTATTACAAAGAAAGTAACCACAACGTGGAATGGCTCTGAAAGCTGAATGTTTTTCTGAAGCTACAGGAGAGAAAAGCTGTGGAGGATTGTGCATAGCAGTGCCACCTGCTATGCAAAATAACTTTCAAAGGTCAAACCTTTGACACTTAATCAGGTACAAAAGGCATTTATTGTAGCAATTTTACCCCCAAGGTATTATTCATTAAATGCATTTCTCATCTATTTCCTATGTTCAGAAAATGTGTTCTAGGCAGACTGCAAGCTCTGCTATTGCAGGCCATTTCTGTGTGGCTGTTGAAATAAATAAATTGGTACAATAAAAAAAGAGTCGTGTCTATGCTCCACTTACAAGAAGGTGCATGTTAATTTGATTTGTTTCATGTGGATTTAATCAATGCAAATATAGATGGAGGAAGAGTGTCAGTGGGAGTAATGGGTCGTTTTTATTTCTCTTTCATCGCTTAACCTGATGAATCGATCTACCCCGTTGCTAGGAAAATCAGAATCATGCTGACATGAGCATCTGTCCTATGTAGACAGGAGAGAGTTTTTGTTGTAATGTAGCACTTAAAATTCACAAACTTTCCACAAGTGGCTGATGCTTCACACAGCTGCTTACAAGGGTGGAACAATGGTGTGGCGGAAGAGATGGGGCTCCCTCGGGTTCTTCTGTAGGGGCTTTTGAGATCCCGAGAAAGGCGAGAAGCCCCGGCCCGAGGAGAAGGGAGGGGGGGATAGGGGCGGGAGACATCTGCCGTGTGTCGGCGACCCCTTCCCACGAGTGTGGGCACCTGCGGGGCCGGGGGGGTGACGAGCCGGGCCGGGGAGCCCTGAGAACCGCGGGCAGGACAAGCGGAGCCGCGGGATGGAGCGCGGCGCCGGGGCCAGGACCGCGGGAGCCCCGAGCATCGCCCCGCGCATCCCCGGCGGCGAACACCCATCCCCAGCTCCCGGGACGCTCTGGCAGCCCCTGTCCGTGCGGTCTCCCCCTCCCCGAGGCGGACAGTGACCGTCCCTCCCTGCGGACCCGGTGGAGCCGGTGCCAGGTGCGGCGGGGCCGCCGCAGGACTACACGTCCCGGCGTGCCCGGCCCGCGGGACCGGCGCCTGCGCGGGGCTGCGGGGCCGCTCCGCGCTGCCACACCCCCGGGGGAGGGAGGCAGGAGCGCCCGAGCCCTCGAACCACCGGGGGAGCCGGCGGGGCGGAGGATGGAGTAGCGGGGCGCGGCGGAGCCGGCAGTGCGGGGAGCGCCGCCTCCGCCCGGGGAGCGCGGGGGAGCGGGCGGGGATGATGCGCGGGGGGACAGCGCGCTAGGGGCAGGAGGAGGGTGGTCGCCCGGAGACTCCGCACCTCGGAGTGACGTCCTGCTGCAGTGCCGCTGCCTGCGCTGCCCGAGCTCGTCAATGGAGCTGGAAAACATCGTTGCCAACACCGTTTTGCTGAAAGCCAGGGAAGGTGAGAGAGCGGCGGGAGGGGAGAGGGGGCTGGAGCATCCTTGTCGCAGTCGCCCCTCCGCGGAGCGATGCCCGCGGGATGCGGGCGGGCACCGGTGGGGATGCGCGCCGGTCCCGCCGGCGGTGGCTGTCGGGGTGCCATGTGGCTGTGCCGGCGTTGGGAACGGCTCGTTTGAGACAGAGCCCCGGTGAAAAGGAAAATACCGCTGCTTTTCCCTGTGCGCGGGGGTTTGGGAAAGGAAGTGAATGAGATTGCAGAGATTACAATATTCACCCATCTCTTCCTTCCCCCTTCCCGCCTCCCCCCCCTCAAATCTGGTCCCACAGATTGTGCTATTTCAGCGTCTATTGTTAAAGGTCAGCTGCAGATGCATTCATTCAAAAGGGCTTAGCAAATCTGCAAATAGCTTTCCGCGCCGTGTGGTGAGACCGGCAGGATCGTATCGCTTCCCCGTACAGTCATTGCCTTATTCGGCGTTATTAGGTGAGATCATGTTGCTGCAAACATGCCCATTGTTGAGAGCGTGTTTGTCCCCGGCCGGAGCCGGACGGAGGGGCTGGGGGCTCATCCCCCGCCCGGGGGTGGCACGGGGGTCTCCGAGCGGGGCTGTCCTGTCCCCGCGGCCGCCGCCGCGCTCGGGCAGCGGGGATGCTCCGGGCGCTGCCGGAGCCGCCGGCGCGGAGCCGCCGCCGCTCGGAGCGGGGCGCCCTGCGAAGACGCTCGGCTGCGGCTCCGGCAGCATCCCCGTCCCGACCCCGAGGGCTCGCAGAACCGACAACCACCGGTGGATCGGGCTCCCGGGGCTTTATTCGGGAGCGGACGCGGTTTCCTCTCCCCGCGCGGGCGGAAATCCTCCCGCGGCTGCGGGGCGCTGGGCACGGCGGGGCCGGGGCTCGGGGCTCCCCGCGGAGCCCCGTCCGCCCGGGAGCATCCCTCCGGCTGGAGCGGGAGCGCCTCGCACAAGCAACACGTCTTACGGCTGCGGCATCGCTGCCAAGGCGCGATCGCCTTCTGTCTGCTCCAACCCATTTTTATGTTTATTTACTTGCTTGCTGCTGATAATAAGGCATTTTTCCAAGCCCTCGGTCAGAGTTTCTTCCCTGGAAGCACTTGCTGGACCAGGCGTTCTCAGGTGCGGTCCAACCTGCCGCCTGTTCTCCGCTGTCCGCCGGAGCTGCTGCGAGCGCGGCTGGGCAGCGCTTGGGTGGGCTTCAGCCTCGGCCCCTCTGAGCTTTACCCTTACTCCGGGTAAAGCAGCGTTCATTTTGTAACAGAGATCATTCAAATAGTCTGCCCCTGAAGCGATCCTTTTGCTGGGAAAATAACTCAAATTGTAAAATAGTGTTTATATAACTCACAGGCTGTTGAACTTTTGAGGCTTAGCTAAAGAGTAAAGTCCTGAGATCCTCCCAAAAAAGCTCTACAAATAATAAGGGCAAAGGAGTTCAGCAGATCAGTGAATTATAACTTTTTGACTTCTGATGGAGATTTTATATTCTGTTGTCATTTTTAATGTTGTTTAGGATGCAGTTGTTGCTACCAGTCACACAATGCCGGTTTAGATTTCAGTAGACTTTAGGAATACTTTAAAGGACTGGTATTAATTACAGTTATTGTGTGTTGTTTACAGAGAGCTGATATTTTGCAAGCAATTTTAAATGTGCCGCTCAGTTTTATGGTCCTTTTCTACCATTCTCAGGGAGATGCTTAAAGTCATGTTGCTTTATTGTGTTAGAGTTGCATTAAAGAAGCGGTTAGCTATAATCCAAATGGCAGAAATTTATCAAGATTTTCTCCAAACTACATTCCAAGTGTCCTTTAAACCATGTATGAACCTCCAACAAGACATCAACATATTTCAGAGGCCTGGTGCTAATTTGTTTTAAAGTTTTTTGGTTTTTTTGGAGGGATATGAAATTTTTTAAAGGAAGAATAAGGGCAAATGATGCACCTGGCAACAGAGCCACGAGTACTATTGCTGTATGAGATATGTTGCCACACTTTAGTTATTGTTGCAAGCTGCTGTGAGTAAAGTTGTTTTAAAATTTGCAGCGAGTAATGTGGGTGGCTTTCATTGCAGATGAAGAAGGCAGACAACATATGTAAGACCAAGAGTTAATATATTGAATATTATGGTATCTAAAAATAAAAACAAGTTTGTTCCAGGTTCTGCAGACTCCATCAATAGATTTAGCTGGGTGAATGTGTAGGCTAAGCCAAGTAAGTGCCTGTGTGTTTCCACTTGTGAAGTCAAAATTAAAAGCTGTATTAGGTCAATCACATGCTGGTTGGTACCTGCAATGTGATCCTTAATGTTAGGAGAAGAAAAATGATGGAACCACTCTGCAAATGTTAGTAAAGGCAGAAGTTTTGTGAGAATTGCATGGGGAACACAAACCTACTCTCAATAGCAAAGGGAATGTCAAGGAGAGGTTTAGGTAGAGCTGCAGTGTGAAATCCAGCAGTGAGGACGTTTGAGGGAGTCAGAAGTAGGGCTGAGTGGCCACCACAAATGTTTTATAGCAAATATTGGTTTAAATTTTGCAACTCTTTTGCTCTGGCCTTGGTAGCTTTTTTTTTTTTTTTTTTTTTTTTTTTTTTTTTTCTCCTGTAGTCCCTTGTCTAAGTTCCTTCACCCCTTATGTAAAGTGAGCTTTTTAGCTGAAATACCAGGGGCCAAGCTTTATAACTGCTACACAAATACTTGCACTTAAATCCTGATGATCACAATGAGAAGCACACCCAGAATTAACTGATGCCATGTGATACATGAGTAATCTTATTAGAGCAACAAAAAGAGTAAATGTGGTTCACATACAAAAATGCATTTCAGTGAATAATTTTGAGCAGAGAATAAATTTCAGGAAATTTTAATATTTTTTTTGCAGAATATGAAGGTTTTGACACAAAATTACACACAAGTTACTTGTTATACTCAGAAGTCTGTCAGTTTGAACACGTAAGAATGGAGATTTACTGCATTTGAAAGTCCATTCATTATTTATTAGGAGTAAATTTATGCTTTTTCCTCAACTGTAATTTCTCATTTCTTGAGTGCAAAGTCCCATTTCACAAATTGCTAATCCCTTCTCAGACTGAACAGAAAATACATCTGCTTTAATTATAGGAACCAAATAGGTATTTGGGAACTATCTAGTATTGCCTGGGGAGAAGAATCAGCTAAAAAGGGAAGAAAGATGAGACTCATAAAAAGAAAATCAAAACAATAACAAAAGCACTCATTTTGGGTTGAGTAAGAACCCCAGATTATGAGGCGATAAAACATTTATCTGGATCTTCGTGGCATCACGGAATGGTTGGGTTGGAAGGGACCTCAAGGATCATCCAGTGCCACCCCTGCCATGGCAGGGACACCTTCCATCATCCCAGGCTGCTCCAAGCCCTGTCCAGCCTGGCCTTGGGCACTGCCAGGGATCCAGGGGCACCACAGCTGCTTTGGGCACCCTCTGTCAGGGCTGCCCACCCTCCCAGGGGGCAATTCCTTCCCAACATCCCATCTAACCCTGCCTTCTGGCAGTCTAAAGCATTTCTCTGACCTTTTCTTCCACCAGCCTTGGTGTTCCTGGGTCCCAGCAGTGGTGGCTGAGGCTCAGAACCACCCAGCCACGAGCGCTGGAGATCCACCACGCTGCCAGCAACCAGTGAGTCCCAGCTCACCTTCCAAATCTGGGGTGGTTTCAGAGGGCATCATCAGAAACAAGCAGCCAGGAGATACCAAAAAGAGTCTCCCAAGGTCTCAGAGGAATTTTAACAATCCTAATCTGGAATTTCAGTGGTATCCACAGTCTTGAATCTACTCTTGCCTGTCAAAAGCAATAAGCTGATAAAAGACAAGCCTTTCAAAGAGAACAGTGTTTGTAATAAAAATAATCTACAGTGTTTGTAATAAAAATAAACAATATGGTCTGAAAAGCATGACCAAGGCATGGTGATCACCTGAATAGCCTTCCTCATGAACTGTTCTTCCTAGCCATAAAATCAGCCTTTCCTGATGCTTCTGTAGGTATGAGCTTCCTCACACAACCCGAAACACATTTCCAAACAGAAATACAACTTGAGTCTAAAATTGCAAAATCCTTAAAAAATTTGTACAAACAGACAATTCTCACCACTTTCAAGTTTTAATGATAACTGTGATGTCTAATTTAGTCATTAGTTTTAAAGCAGCCACTTTGGAAGATGAACTGTGTTTTTTTTGTCAAACCTAGAGTTTCTAAAGCGCAAAGTTTACCACACAACAGTGGTAAAAAAACATCTTCAACCACTGAAACACAATGCAAATGCTTTTTTCCCTTTTTAGGTAGGCTGGAATTCTAAAATAAGCTTATTTATGGCACCCAAGCAGAGCCTTCTATTGGCCTAGACAAAAGGGCTGACCTTTTATACACTCAGAATGTTTTGATGTGTGCACACTGATGCCATATAACATGCAAAATGTTCATAAATTGCTGTATTTTTAGCTTGCTTTTGCAGGATGATCACAGGAGAGATTTGTGTGTGTCCGTACTGGCAGAAGACTAGCAATAAATCCTAAACATGAAGCGTGATTGCTTTCCAAGAACTTGGCTGCAGAGCAGTTGGAAAAAGGGCAGGAGAACAATGAAAAGCATATTTTGAAGGAAAGAAGGTGGCTGTAGTGATGGCCAAAACTCTATGGAGAATATGGTTGCACTGAATGCAGAATTGAAGGTCCTGTCCTCCATCCCTTGAAGTAAACCCAAAATGCCTTCTGTGACTGTAAGCAGAGGAAGCTTCCATGTGGTGTCTCAGTTTAGTTCTCTTTTTTGAGTTCAAGAGAAGCTCACCACTGCAATAGCTTTCAAAAAAAGTTTTTCAAGAATGGAGTCAGCCATTGCTTCAAATGCAACAGGGTGCTTTCAAGCAGTAGTTTAAAAAAAAATAGTTTAAATAAAAAGAGCCAATTCTTTCTGGGGACAAAAAAGTACCCAGAAGAGTCAAGACTACCTCATATTTTAACC